TGGTATGGCGATGCGCCACTCGCCCTATCCTCCGCGACTCAAACGGGGTCGCACCGTTGATGCTGTGGTGATGGGGCTGCGGGGGGAGAGGATTGTCGGTATTGCGAGGCGCCGCTCTCCCTATCCTCCGCAGCCGAATCTTGGTTGGCGGCGGAGCCATAGACCAGATCCGCTGCTGGGGTCGGGAAGGCTAGTACTTCTAAGTGCTCGTTTTTCCTGGCCCCATGGCCTTCGCGCATCGGACGCGGGGGCGTCTGTTGCGCAAATGCAATTGGAGGCCGTGGAGGAAGGCGTGCCATGTGTTCTGGTGCGCCTTACTTGGGAAGGAGAACGGGGAGGAATATTCCTCTCCCGAGGAGGTGCTGCCATGGGGCGGCAGTCGCTGGTAGGGCCGCGGAAGTGTGCGAAAGCGTTCCCGTAGCCCTGCCAATATGCGACGAAGGTGGAACACCATGGGGTTTTAGTCGGTGCGAGTCCGACATAACCCGTCCTTGCCCCCGCGAGGCGGGTATGCGTAGGCATTTCCCCATGTTAAAAAAAAAAGGTTAGGTTAGGTTAGGTTAGGTTAGGTTCCCGTGTGGAGTTGCCAGTCCTCCAATCGGGCGCGTCCCCAGGTGGCGGATAGGGGAATGCCACTCAGATATGAGTGGTAGCGGGAAACCGTCGCGGACCAAAACTGGCTGGGTTTTGGCGTACCTCCGGTTTCGAATGGAATCAGGTATCTGCTAGTTGCTTCCCGTATCCTCTCCACTGAGAGGAACAGAGGATGTGACACGCGCGGTGAGATGCCAGGTGTACTCGGCTTTTGCCGACGCCGGGCAACCCGTCATCGCGGGAATTGAACGGGCTCAGAGTTCCCTCACCCGGTCTCTGGGCAGGCATGGGAAGAACCCGTATCGACTCTGCTACCGTTCGAACCTCGGAATCCCTTTGGCGTGTCGTGGATCATGTCTCGCGGCGCCTGAGGGGCCGATGGCTCTTGGCTTAACCGCCTGGAGTCACGAGGATGATAACCTCTATAAAAATCACCCGAAGCTCAAGAGTGGCACGCCGTGAGGAGCTGCATGGCTGATGGGTAAATGTTCAGTCGTTAGCGTTGCCCCCCGTCAGGGTACCGGCCGACACCCTTGACGGGTTATGCATAGGCTTATCCGGGCAAAGGGGGGCTCTGCTCGGACGGACCGTTACTTCCTCCACACTCGTGGGAAAAAAATGAATAAATCTTTAAAAAATGTAGATATAGGAAAACAGGATGGATCAGATGTGGACAGATTGCGTGGGACGTCTTCCGCCAAGAAACGTCCAGTGTGCCGGTCGTCGGACGAGGAAGGCCTGCCAGCCCCCAAGTTGGCGACTTCGAGGAGGGGTCGGCAGGCATCGAGAGGGGTGAGTGCTTCGCAGCCGCGAAGAGATAAGCACGGACGATTCGTGTGCTCTAATACCTCGGCGGCTAGTGAAGCAGAAAGTGATATGGGGGTCACTACGGAGGATCCTGGCGATGGCGGTGAAAGCTGTGCCTCGCTGGGGAGTTCAAAGGCGGAGCTCAACGCCGCCAAGAGGGATCAGCGCAAAGCCGTCGCAGCAGACGAAGTGTCTGAAATGGCCCGACGCGCTCGCGAACGACGAGCTGCTCTGGCGGCGGAAAAAGGAGAGCCATCTGCGGTGGCCTTGAGCCAGCTGGCTCTGGATGGGGTGGACTTAGTCCTGAAAGTTGCCACCAAGTCCGGCAGCCTGAAGGGCACGTTCACCCGTGGCTTAAAGGAGGCTGCCGCGGATATCAGGGAGGCGGTTGGCATTCTCCTCAACAGGACGGCCTCTGACGAGGTCGCAAAGCTACAGGAGGAAAATAGCCGCCTCAGAAATGATCTAGAAGACCTCCGGCAGCAAGTCGCAGCACTGAGCAGCAGAGATGCACATCCACCGATGCCGCATCTGTAGTGGCCCCGACTCCCGCACCGCGATCGACAAGGCCTCATACCGACGAAGAGGTCGAGCGCATTGTCCGGCTCTGCATGCTCCAGTGCGGGAGCATGGTTAACGCTCGGCTGGAGGCGATTTCTCGGCGTCTCCCGGCGGAAATCCTACGTCCGCCTTTGGAAGCTGACACGCGGAGAACTGAGGAGCCGCCGAGACTTACGCCTCAAAAGGGGAAGCCCACGGAGGGTAAAAAAAAGTCCGCGGAGGGAGCTCCTCCGAGCGACCAGCCCACGACAGCTGGGTCTAAGGGTGAGACATGGGTGAAAGTCGTGGGCCGCAAGAAGGCCCGCAAAGCCGCCAAGAAGGCCGCAGCAGCTGCACACGCCCCAGGTGGAACCGCAAAGACGGCTCCTCAACCTGCGCGGCGGACTGCCAAAGGTGGTCACAAGAAACCGGTTGTACGTGTTCCGCGGTCCAATGCGGTGACACTAACATTGCAGCCCGGAGCTGTGGAGCGTGGCGTGACGTACCAGTCGATCATCGCGGAATTCAGTCCGTCACCCTCAGGCAGGCTGCCACGGGTGCGCGGCTGTTCGAGGTGGCTGGCACTGTGAGCGACAGTGCCGAAAAGGCGGACGCATTGGCCGCCAAGATGAGAGAGGTCCTCAACCCTGAGGACGTCCGGGTCTCCAGACCAATGAAAACCGCAGAAGTGCGGATTGCTGGCCTGGACGACTCCGTGACATCTGAGGAGGTGGTGGGGGCCGTTGCCAGAAGCGGAGAGTATCCGCCGGACAAGGTGCGGGCCGGCGATATACGCACCGATGCCACCGGACTTGGCGCGGTCTGGGTTCGGTGCCCTGTAGCGTCGGCAAAGAAGATCGCCGATAGCGGCAGATTGCTGGTAGGCTGGGTGGCGGCAAGGACGAAGCTACTACAGCCCCGGGCTTTGCAGTGCTTCCGGTGCCTGGAAAAAGGGCACGTCCGGGCGAAGTGCACCGCCGAGGTTGACCGTAGTGACCTTTGTTACCGCTGCGGCCAGCCTGGCCACAAGGCGGCCCTGTGCACCGCGGCGTTCAACTGCAGCCTTTGCTCTGCTGCGGGAAGGCCAGCGGAGCACAGAGTAGGCGGAGGGGCCTGTGGGGTGCCTACCAGCAAGTCCAAGGCCAAAAAAGAAAAGAAGAGGAGCAACAAGTCTGCCGAGTTAACCTCGCTGCCCACACAGGCCAGTAGCTCCGCGGCCGACTCCCAGCCCAGGACCGTTGCCGAGGGAATGGAATGTCAATAATGGCAAAGTTCCATTTTCTCCAGGGCAATATCAACCACTGTGCCAGAGCTCAGGATCTCCTACTCCAGAGCATGGCAGAGTGGTCGATTCACGTGGCTGTGGTCGCCGAACCGTACTTCATTCCCGCCCGTGACAACTGGCTTCTTCTTGGAGACCTGATTTGCTGTCGGAGAAAATATATGTTGGATTGATTTTGTGTTCTATAATCCATTCGCAGGCTTTAGAAATGGCCAGGAGTTCGGCTTGAAAGACTGAACACGAGTCATGTAATTTGTATTTGCGTATTAGTTTTTCTCCGTTCGGTTTGTGTATCACAAATGCAGCGCCCACTTTATTGCTGTGCTTGCTACCATCGGTGTAAATACGATAAGAATTTATAATATTTTCTGTCGGTATTTGTTCTTCAGTAAATTTAATAGGTTTTCGCAAAGAGGGATGTAATAAGTTTCCTGATTTAGCAGCGACGTCTAGAGTAACATCAGAAGGTAGGTACTGTGAAACTTGTGTGATTCTTGTGCGCTCATTATCTGCTATTTCCTTTATTTTTATTGGGAGTGGGCATAGTTGAGCGATTGATATGCAAGCGACTGTACTCACGGTTCTAAAGCCACGGATAATTCTAAGGGCAAAATTGCGTTGCAAAGAGAGTAGTTTCTCTTTCACACATTTGTACCCGATTGCTGATTGCCAGATAGAAGAAGCATAACAGACTATTGACTCAATCACATGTTTATAAATAATTTCTATATTCTCGGAGTGAATGCCCCAAGTTGGTTTGACGAACGTTATTAACCTAGTGTACAATTTACGGACTTTGTTGACGATGAAATCTACATGTTTTATGAATTTGAGCTTTTTGTCTATCAAAACGCCTAAAAGCTTAATCTCGTTAGAAAAATTCAGGAGATGACCAGACATATAGAGCTTGCACCTCACTGCCTTGCAAGTAAATGCGATGGCCTGTGTTTTGGCAACTCCAAAAGTAAGTTTCATTTCCTGACCCCATTTAGTGATTATACTCAAAGCATTATTTGCGTTAAGCTGTAAATTATTACTATCTTTGGCGCGCACAAGAAGGAATATGTCATCCGCAAATGCTTGTATTGTAGCTCCAGGTGGCATATCCATATCGAGAAGTTCGTCCACAATTAAATTCCATAGGAAAGGGCCACAAACCGAACCCTGGATGAAACCTCTCGTCAGAGATTTTATAGCTGTGCTGTCTCCGAAATGTATAATTGCAGATCAATTTTGGAAATAACTACACAAAATAGAGTAGATGTTACGGGGGCATCCAATTTTATGTAGTCTGCGGTATATTGCCGGCCACCAAGCACAGTCAAATGCAGCTTGTATGTCTAAAGAAACTGCAAGCACTTGCTCTTTATTGGCTATGGCCTGGTTGGTAATATTTATTATGTTGGTTAATGCATTGATGGTAGATGTTTGTTCTTTAAAACCGTACTGCGCTGAGTTAAAAAGATCTTTCTGGTGCATGAAATATGTTAATCTACGTATAACTAGTTTTTCAAACAGTTTTCCAAATACATTAATTAGACCTATGGGGCGGAAAGAGGAAATATTTAAATAATCGTTCTTGTGGGACTTAGGGAGGATTTTGATAAAAGCTATCTTCCAGATATTTGGAAAATATCCCAGTTTAAAACATCGGTTAATGACTGAAGTAATAAGATTTGGAAAGCTTTCGGCAAATAATAAGCAAATGTCAGAAGTAAGATGGTCAGTGCCGGGTGCTTTTTTCGGATTAATACTATTTAAGCTACTGCGAATTTCTTCATAGGTAAAAGGGGGGTTCATCTTGAGTATTAGATACGGTAATTGCAATTTTCCGAGCTTCTTCTTGAAGTGTTGTATCAATTATGTCATCATCGGGAAAAAACTTATTAAGAAGAGCTTGGGCGGTTTCGAGGCTAGAGTTGGTGTATGTACCATCGCATTTCTTTAGTGTGGCTGGTGGTAGCGGAGGTGGGTTTGATTTGATTATTCTATTTGTAACGGACCACACATCCTCCTTCCCTTGCCTTTCACAAAAGTCTCTGAAATTTCGCGTGGAAGTTTCTCTAAAGGTTTTTGAATAAGCAGTTTTTAAGCGTTCTTTTTCCAAAAGGGCGTCCTTAAGTGGTTTATTTTGTCGGCAAAGTTTTTGTATGTTATGATGGTTGCGTATTACTTGTTTTTTGAGACTTTCAAGTTCGTCTGTCCACCAAGGGCAGCGGTATTTTCGACCAGTTGACCTTGGGAGCAGCTCATCACATGTTCTTTGAATTGCCGATGTAACTGAAATTATGTAATCTTCCAATTCGTTTGCCTGCATCTGTTCAACTGTAACATTTTGGGGTACATATTCCATAATTTTAGTTTCAAAGAAAGGTCTTAGTTCCTCCCATTTTATGTTATTCGTATTGTATCTAAACGTACTGGTTGTTTTGTTGGTTTTTCTTCTTTCACCACGAGTTGCGACTGAAAATATTACTGCCCTGTGTTCAGAAGATGGACAGATTAAAGAATCAACTTTCCAGTCCACAACCCGGTCATAAATAGAGCTAGAGGCAAGGGTAAGATCAATATAAGAACTACGCACTTGTCCATATGAAACTGTCTCAAAAGTAGGAGTATGGCCTATATTACAGAAAAACATGTCATTGCCATAGGCAATGTCAACAACTTCGTTTCCCCGCAAATTTGCTTGGTCGCTACCCCAGATAGGGTGCCAACCGTTAAAATCACCGCCAATCAACTGATGGCAGTTACTGGTCATTTTTAAAAAGTTTTCTACCCTTTGCAATGTATTGTTTTCATCACTATTAGGCTCGATATAGACGGATGCTATGTACAGTTTACTGCCCTCAATATTCAATATAACTGCGCTGAAATTAGCCGATGAAAATTGGGATAGACCTATTACGGAATCACAGCTAGATTTTGTCATTATGCACGCTTTGACCCTGTTACCATTGGGGAACTGAAATATATTGATACCAGGGATGGGTTTAACAATATTGCCAGATCCCACATAGGGCTCTGACACCAGTGCAATTTGGAAATGGCCGGCTATAAAAGAAAGAACAAATTCATGTTGACTTTTCTTGGATTTATCTAAGTTACACTGTAGTACTTTGAGTTTATTTACTTGATCCATAGTCAATTCGGTTTATGATTCTTTCTTTCATGGCTCGCAGTCTGGGGCAATAAGTGGACGTAGCCTTATGTTTGGTATCAAGTTTTGTGCTAAATTTGGTGTTATGTGCGACACAGTTGATACACTGAGCGCAGTCCAGATTGTCTCTTTTAGGACAGTTTTCAGAATTATGTGTGGTTGCGGCACAATGACCGCATACAGTGTTTTCCGAAGTACATTTGTTCTTTGTGTGTCCAAACTGGTATTATTTATGACATTGCATAAATGGTGAAAATTCCTCAACGTGTATACGCTGATGATCGATAGATAATTTACACATGCTGATGATTTTTCGCCACACTGTGGGTTGAGCCCGAAAAACTGCATTGTATAGGTGAGGGTTTCTGTTACTGCGTTTGAAGCAAAATTTTAAGTCATCCTGTTCTGTAATGGTATCAGATAGTTCAGCATTTTGCATTTTAATAATATCCACTAATTCTTCAGTTGGAGTGTCAACAGAAATTCCCTTGAGGATTATCATGGGTCTAAGTTTTCGTGCAGGTTCAGCTGTTACCTGAACTACCTTTGAGTTCAATAAACGTGTTAGAGTTTCGTCACGCTGCTGTTCGTTATCGAACTCGACCCTTAATTTATTGTGTGACACTGTTTGAACGTGAGCAGGTGCATATCTGGTGGCACGGAAGCTGATACTTTTGCGCCAAACGTCGATAACTTCCTGCTTATTTTTAACTTCTGTTTTTGGAGTGACGATTAACGCTGGTTTGGTTGCGGGGAGGGGAGCACCGTGGTTGTTTATCGTGAGTGATTGATTAGCGCTTGAAGAAACAACTTGAGCATAAGAGGATCGGCCTAGAGAAGGGCTGCTAATTGATTTCTTAAGATGAGTAATTTCTTCACGCACACAAGTGATAATATCATTTTTGAGGTCCTCAGCGGGACTAGACAACGTGGATGTAATATTAGTAAGTACCAAATTGGCTCTCCTTATTTCTTCGGAAGCAACTGTGATGAGGCGCTTATTTGCTGCTGTGACACTCTTGCCATCATTGACCGCATTCACAATGCATGCAACCAATTTATTTACAACTTCCGTATACATAGAAACATTGGTGATTTCTTCTGCCGTCGCTGGCAGCATCGGCAAATCACTAACCAGGAGCCATTGTTATAAATTTTTGAATTATATATAATACAAAAAAAGAAAGAAAGGTAGTGAAAACGGGGTGGTTCGAAAATCAATTTTTGTCTAAACTAGGTGTTTTTACTCACAGGTTCAAGAAATAATAAAATTGATATATATTAAGAAAATCGATATAAATAAAAATCGATATAAATAAAAATCGATATAAATAAAAATCGATATAGAATTCCCAGAAGTCTACTTAAGTAAGACAAACAGGGAGGGCGGGGGGCGATTTTTCTGATTCTGTCTGTTTTATGAAGCAAATTGGTGTGCAGATGGTGGTTTCTACACAAGACGGACCTAACAGGAGCAAAAAGATCGAAGGAAATGAAAATTTGGAAAAGTTTAAAAAATTTTACGATTTTACGACTATAAGAAACGGAAAAACATGAAAATCTACTATTTAACTGTGAAAATTTGTGAATAAAACTATATTTAAACACGGTGAGCAATGAATTACACTATTTAAAAACAAAATTTAATCGGAATAAGCCAATTTTCAGTAAAGTTATAAGTGAATTTATGTTTTATTCTATGAATTTACTGTAATAAGGGAACAAAAATACGAAATTTAATTATATAACGGCTAAAATTTAGTAAGAAAACTATAAATAAATATGGGAGGCAATCAACTACACTATTTAGAAAAAATTTGAACGAAAAATACCAACTTTCAGGAAAGTTATCTACAAATTTATAGTTCGGTTAGGTTAGGTTAGGTTAGGTTAGGTTAGGTTAGGTTTTTTTTTTTTTTTTAATTGACCTCCCTGAGACTTTCGATCGCATACGAATGCTTCGCCTGATGAACGAAACCGGGCAGCTGTCATAGTCAAAGCTGCGTTTAGACTTTAGCGCAGCTTCCTTGGCTAGATGGTCGGCACGCTCATTCCCCTCTAGTCCCGCGTGGGCTTTGATCCAGAACAAATTGACAAGTTTGTCCCGTATCGAAGCCCTGTGCAGGTGGCCCCGCGCCTCGACGGCCAGGGGGTGGAGGGCAACTGGATTTATCGTTGTCTGCAGTGCCGACAGAGAGTCAGAATAAATTCCGATTGATCTGGCCGAGTTATCTGCGGCCGTCCGCGCCGCCCTGCATATCGCCAGGAGTTCCGCCTGGTAGACGGTGCAAAAGGACGGCAAAGTAAGCTTGAGGGTTTTGGTTTCGGCGGCGCCCCTCCATATGGATAACGCCGCACCCACCTTGCCCTCAATCTTACTGCCGTCCGTGTAGATATTAAGTTCGTGGTCAATATTTACCGCGAGTTGTTCCTCGCCCGCCAGGCACTTGAACTCCAGGTCGATATGCTGAGCGGGATGCGGAGACCGCAGAGCCGAGGACATCCGTTCCACCTCCCGATCTCCTATCGCGTCCTGGGGTATACCCCTCCTCGCACCATACAGCGCCGCGGCTTTCGCGGACGCGCAGGTCAAGGGGGAGTAACCCAGCGAGCAACAGTGCTGAGTTCAGGGAGGTGGTGCGGTATGCCCTACACAGCTTCTGCGCAAAGCCCCGCTGGACCACGTTCAGCTGCTTTCGAACACCGAGCTTATCAACAGCCGGCGCCCAAACGGCAGCCGCATACAGTATCACGGGCTCAACCACCGCTCTGTAGATAGCGCGGATAACTTCGGGGTGGAGGCCCCAGCTTGCCTTCGCGGCTCTCGAAAGCTGGGCGTAGAAGGCTACGGCCTTCTTACACACATTCGCGACGTGCGTGTTGAAGGTCAGGCGCTGGTCTAGGACGACTCCCAGTAACCTGAGTTCTCCGACCATGCCAATGTCAACCCCGCCCATGTGGAGGCGTGGGGTGTCATACTTCAGTTTGCGCGTGATGACCATGGCACTGGTCTTGTGCGGCGCAAACCTCAGTTTGTTCTGGACTCCCCACTCCCTCACATGCTCGAGGGCGGCATTAGCACGGCTTTCGATCTCATGAGCCGTCTCACCTTTAAAGACCAGCACCACATCGTCAGCGAATGCCTGCACATAGTGATGTCTAGCCTCCAGCTCGCGAAGCAGTGGATCCAACAAGAGGTTCCACAAAATCGGCCCACCGATAGACCCCTGCACGCAACCCTTCTCGGTTTTCCTCACGTGCTCCTCCCCGCAGTACCGTGCGCGAACATGCCTGCCGCTCAGGTAGCCGCCCAGGAGCCTCCTGATGTTAAACGGCACTCGTTACTTCGCCAGTCTGACTTTGATGCGTGGCTACCAAGCGTTGTCGAAGGCGCCCTCTATATCCAGTGACAAGCGTCATCAACTTTTTGTTTTTTAAACCTAATCTGATGTGCTCAACTAGTGTATAGAGGGCGTCCTCGGTGCTCCGCTGGGGCATAAAGCCAAACTGGCGGGTGCTGAGCCTGGGCGCTATATGATATTTTAATCTGGCGACAAGCATTTTCTCCAGCACCTTCCCCAGCACCGGAAGGAGACCGATCGGCCGATACGACCGTGGTGTCGTATAAGTAATCTTCCCCGGCTTGCGGAGGAAGATTACCGTGGCCTCCTTCCAGGGCTCGGGAAAATGCCGGAGTTCGAGGCACCTGTTTAAAAGAGCGAGTGAGAGTTCGGGGTCAAATTCTATCGCGTGCAAACATATATCGGCGGTAAAACCGTCCGCGCCTGGAGCCTTCTTCGGATTGAAGGACCGGCAGGCCAATTTCAACTCCAAAGGAGTGAAAGGCAGGTCTGTCAATTCCTAAGAAGTTTCAGCGTCAAAGAGCTCAGCTTGTACCCTCACCCTTCGGTGCTTCTCGGAGTCATCCCCCTCGGAGTCCTCCGGGTAAAAGATTCTGGCCATATGCCTCACCGAGCCCCTGGCGTCTAGCTCCATACTGTCTACCACCAGCGGTGGGTCTTCGTCTCTCCTGGAGGTTCTGCCGAGGACCCGATAGATACCCCCCCAACCCGATTCCCCGTCTTGGCGGTCGCAGAAGGAGCCCCAGCTGCGCGTCTGCGCTTGCCTTACCTGGGTCTCGTAACGCTCCTTCGCCTCGAGGTACTCCCCAACTACCTTCCGACGCCTAACCGGCGCTGCACACCGAATCCTGCATCTCTTGGTGGCCACCTCACGCTTTAGCGCTGCCAACCCCTCGTTCCACCATGGCATATTCAACACATCCTTGCGCTTTATTGGCGGAATAGACGAGGCACATGCTTCGGCTATTAATGTGTTGTATTTTGTGATTGTGTTATCTAATTGTGAACCGTGTGTTAAATTTTTAATATAATCTAATGTAAAGTTTTCTCTATCGATAATTTGACCCAGTTTCTCACGAAACTGGGTCACGGTAGCGGTTAGGTCAGGTTAGGTTAGGTTAGGTTAGGTTTTTTTTTCTCTAGTTCCCCCTAACATGGAGATCAGGGACTTTTTCTATCTTTTTTATTTTTATCTCTTATTCAATTTTTCTTTTCTGTGTTTTTGTTATTAATTTTTTTACTTATTTTCTTTTTACTTTTTACTATAAGTTTACATACGGTTCTTTTTTTCTTATTTAGTTATACCTAATATTATCGTTACATTATATTTGTTGCTATATCTTAATCTAATTTTATACTAATTTAGTGGAGCTGTTTGTCTTATATACGAATATATAAGTTACAATTTCCTTATTACTATTTTAATTTATTCTTATTTACTACCTTATTTGCTATATCTCTACAATAGTTTAAGAACCTATTTCTCATATATTTATTTCCTATTATTTTACATATGTTATCTTTTTCTATTTTAATTTCTAGTTCTATTTCGACATTTACTCTTTCTCTGCTATAAGCGGGACATTCGGTTATGATGTGCAGCACACTTTCCTCGATCGTTGGATCACAGGTACATGATGGACTCTCCTTGCACTTGAACCTATGCAAGTATTCAGAGAACCCACCATGTCCTTTTATCACTTGTACCGTTAACGGATCCATATTTACTTTCCTTATTATGGGATAGGCACTTATTGCATTCGGGAAATATATTTTGGTTATAGAGGCCGTTTCGCCTTCAACATAGCGCCGATTCCATTCGTCAAGTGAGTCGAGACGGATCTGTCGTTTGACGAATGAAATCGGATACTTCTCATAATCGGCTTTTCTTTTTATTTTTAAGGCGGCTTCCTTCGCTAATACATCTGCCCTCTCGTTTCCCTCCAATCCTGCGTGGGCTTTTACCCAGAATAGTTTGATTGATTTTCCTTGTTGTTGAATTTTTGAGATGTTTTTTCTAATATTTGACGCTAGGGGATGGAGGGAAACGTTCTGGACAATTGTCTGCAGTGCTGATCTTGAATCGCTGTAAACATTGCAGCTCATTGCCGAGTTTCTAAGCGCGTAGTTTGTCGCTTCAAATATGGCCAGCAACTCCGCCTGGTAGACGGTGCAAAAGTCTTCCAATTTTAATTTTCGGGTATTTATTTCCGCTGCGTCATTCCATACAGATAACGCAGCGCCGACTTTTCCCTCAATTTTACTTCCGTCGTCGTAAGGTCGACTTGTGCACCATCCTCCAGGCATGTAAATTGCAGCCCAGCTTGATACGCGGGGTGAGGTGTATTTGTATAATCTATTTTCCGTTCCACTTCTCGATCTCCTACCACTCGCTGAGAGAAACCTCTCTTTATTTCATAAAGAGAGGCTGCTTCCCGAACCCTAATGTCCAATGGAAGTAATCCAGCGAGTAGTAGGGCCGAGTGTAGGGATACGGTTTTGTAAGATTTAATAATTTTTTGAACAAACCCGCGTTGAGCCATGTCGAGCTGTTTTTTAATTTTCTTTTTTGTGTGTTGCCGATGCCCATACACTAGCCGCGTACATGATTATCGGCTCCGTCACTGCAACGTAAATGGTCCTAATGATCTCCGGGTTCAGGCCCCAGTTTATCTTTGCGGTTCTTGTAAGTTGGCTATATAGATTTTGTACCTTGCAACACACATTTTTTACATGCGTGCTGAAGGTCAATCTATCG